ATCGCGTGCCGAATAAAATATTTAATGCATCTCGTGTAACATTTTCAACTGAATTTTCATTGGACGAATAATTACGGACGATTTATTTTTCGTATAATAAATAAAATTCTGATAAAATGAGCGGCGCGACTTGTCGGCTCGAAACGAGTTTGAATATTATGAATCATTATAATTGTAAATAAAAAAAAATGTAAGCAGATTCGAGAACGAAATTTAAGGGTAAATTTTTTCAAAAAATATTTAAACAATGAATGGTTTATTAATTTCTTTTCTATTTGTTGTTGAATATTTAAAACTATTTACAGATTGCATTTCTTAGCTTTGCAATTACGGTATATACTTTTATGCGTCTTCATCGTTGGGTACGTCCTAGGTACTTGGCTATCTCGTAATTACCTGGTCAGTGATTGTCGAATACATTAGCATTTCATATTCGATAGCTGTGTAAGTGCGCGTCGTTTTACACAGTTTTATTCAGTACATTTTAAATTATGTAACGAACACATGGAACAGGAATAATGTTCTACCGTTACATCTAAATGTGTGTCATAGTCGTGTATATTTGACATCAGCATGATATTTATTCTCGAAACTGTCTATATATAAATAACTTCGCAAAAACAAACTCTTAAAACAGATCGTTACATATTCTTTACAAATTTATAGATTCATTATTTATAAGCTATATTTTTATTCTCGGTACAAAACTAATATTAATGTTGCATAAACTCTGTATGTATTTTAGATGCGTTTCGATAAAAAAATTATTCAAATCTGACCACGCCTGCTCGAGAAACGGAAATTAATAAGAGAGTAAGAATAGTAAATTAGAATTATAAATAATATACCCTCGACTGCATTTAATCGCATTCCTTTGGTACTGCCATTTTTAATCCAAATTTATTCGACCGTTAATTCACGGTAAATAAACATTACGTAACATAGTTTGTCTCTTTTTATTAATCGTTTTCAACCGAACACCGACGTCGACAAAATACAATTGCCACTGCATAATCATAATCATCCATCCAAGTACCGTGACATAACCTAACTCTGTAACAGCGCTTCCAACATTTTTTAACGTGAAATAGAAGTAACCTGATCGAATTGCTCTGTATTTCTAGCGTAATAGTTTTGCAATCGTTTTTGACACTTAAATAATTCAAGTCTGATACAACAATATAATTAATTTCACGTTGTATCGTTCGAAATTTTGTGCAAAAGATAAAGAATTATTATTCTTGTTTCAACGAGAATATTTATTGCGAGATGAAATGTACAGGGAGGGAATTGTAGAAACGCATTTAAGAGCAAGGAAAACAGTGGAATGTGCGTAACTGTGGAGGACCTGGATGACGAGGTCGACTGAATGCCGTTAGACCGTGTCACGACGCGACCGTACACGCCAAGCGAAGCTTCGTGTAAAACATCGTCACCTGGAAGGAGGAGAGCGTCGAAGCGAAAGGCACAAAAATAGGGAAGCAGGGACGAATTGACAAAGGAGAGAGCCGCCGCCGATCTGAATCCGTCTGCACATCGCGGTCTTGCATGAGATGAAACGCATCCGAGTGTAATTCTATTGTGGCATTGCCCACGCGTGCCCTCTATCGAGATAATGGTTCGTTCATTCTGACCGTTCCACCGGAAACAAAAAGTAAATCAGCATTCTGCAAAAAGCATCTTGATATTCAGCCGACTTTCTCTTATTTCGTCGCAACTTTTTTCCAACACTCTCGTTAAGGTAAAAGCAACGGACGCGGACACCTTTAAGAACTTCTTTACCCAGAAAAATCACTATTATGCATTTCCGTCGCTTCTTATTGAATCGCCCTACTTAATCACTGGACTAAACAACGGACTCTACTTTATACATCTGGGCGGTGATAATCGTGGAAAAACGAGATCAGAAAATGTTGTCTAACTTTTATCCGAACTTAAAATTTCTTTCGGATATGTTAAAGAAACGAAAGCAACAATAATTAACACTTTCTGGTTTAGGTAGCAGTGTAAAGATGGTTGGGGAAAGTACTATGAAAGTAGATGGTATTGCACGTCTTGTAGAACAAACTCTTTCCAAGGATAAAAGGTTAAGTAGAAGCATCTAACTGTAGAAACGAACCCTATGTTTCACAAGCGAGTAGATTAAATGTTGGGTTAGTGTTTACATCCAAACTAATTAACATATTGAATATCATTGTCTCGAAGTCATTTTGTTCTAAAAAAAATTCCATCAAAATTAATAAACTGGAATCGGTGTAATAATATTTCACGAACTTTTGTGATTTACACGAAACGTATATGTAGAATTTTCCCAGCGAACCCGTTCTTCTTTCTAACAGAGAATTTCTTTTTCCTGCCATTCGTCGACACAGAGACGAGACAACGATCTTCGGTATGTCTCTGTGCAGTAACGTGATGCCATCTCGCGCGCATGATATCTCGAAATTTTTTCCCCCCCGTTCGACAGATTGACTTCGTCGTTACAACCGGTTCGGTCCGTGGATTTTTCTTCCCGGCTGACGCAACTCTTTCGACGTAACTGTGTCGAGCATACAGACGTATGCCAAATAAATGCGTCCGCGCAAGAAAAATCACACTTGTTCGACAGTTTCTGTTTCACGGATATCCATAACCTCAATCTCGATAAACTCTTATTACCCTTGACCACGTATTTCTAATATAAACTTTCGTAATAAAAGTTCTCGCATTATAAGTTCCCAACGGGAACAGATAAACAAAAAACAAAAGTTTTAATTTGAATAAAATTTTTCAGAAATAAAAGTAAAAGTTGTTGGGTGACAAGGACAGAGGGTGATCAGTCTTGAAAGTTTTATTCGCGAATGATGGATAAAAAAACGTTATATTCGTTCGTAAACTAACTTTCGTTTACACTTTGTCCGTGAATCAGAATCGATTAACGGATTTTTTGAACCGCCATCTTGGCAAACGAATCCGCGGACAGAATCCACTTTACGAGCGAATTCAAAATTTGCATCATACTCTGATACTTCGTTGCTAGTCGTTTATATTATACGAGATTAAAATATTCGAGGTATATCGCAGAGAGAAATTTTTTACTGACCGTACGTTTGTACGCCAACCATTTGCTTCGGGGCATCGTAACAAAGATGCATCGTGGTCCACCATAACCTGCGAAACTAGGTCACGTAACCGTGCCCCTACCTCTTGGAGAACCAAGCCTCCTTGCTTGGCCCTGTCCGCTAGATTCACGAGATAACCAAGTTGCCGGACACTGGCTGATTCGCGTCTCAAAATTCACACTACGCACAGACTCCCAATTTCTACCCGGACTCGGAACGATCGTGTCAAACCGTGTCGATTCGCGTTCGAACAGGATCTATCGAGTTCCGCGTGGACACGTATGCACTCGCAAGAGTAACGTAGTTAGGACACCGCACACCTGCTTATCGTCGAGCAATAAATAGATACTTTTTTTGTTCCCCAGATGGCGAGAAACAGACTCATTGCCGACATCGCGACAGAAATACGCTGCTTTTGCTTGCACCGGTGGCATCGACTTCTCCCCTGATTCGATTAAATCGATTCGCTGTGAACGATCGATGTCGTGCCCGTTTCTCTCTTACCGCGGCCGGATGAGATCGATTTGTCGAAGGACAACCATCTTACAAGGATAAAAATAAGAGAGAGACGAAAGAAAAGTCGTATGAAACTAGATAAAAAAGTACGTATTATTTCCTTACGGTTCATCCAGAAACAATTGGTTTACATTAAGTTCTTTCTCACGTGTACGTTTTACGTCGTGCGAAATGCATCTGGTATTAATGGCGAGTCAGCTTTTCGCGAGACGAAGAAATTCGATTAAAGCCAGTAACATGGAAACTGTTGGTAATTTCGATCGAGTATCAACGGGTCAAACTCCGGCGGTTTCATCACGCCTCAAACTGCTCGACGTTTGAATCTGCGTTACGATGCAACAATGACCTCATGAATAATTTAACGCGCGCCATTGTCTCATCGGTATGTACTAATAACATCACGTCAGTTGTAGCGTATCCGACACTGATTCACTTCATGCATGCGCTTCTTTTTTATTTTCCATTCGGTCATCCGTAACTGTTGTTTCTTTTAAACCGACTGAACCCGGATGCATGCGATGTTTATCGACTTTGCAATATCGACAGGACACGACATTCACCATTGTTTCGTAAAATTACGTGAAAGAAGAGATATTCTTTTCGGTATCATAAAAGAGACTAATTCTCGTTAATTAACCAATACGGCTTTCAATAGGTTATTCAATTACCTTACTTGTCGTTCCGAGAAACTAATGCCGAATTAAGCACGAATAATCGACGATTAAACGTAATACTTTTTTTCGAGGAAAGGACATTCAGTGCAACGCGTGACTAATAGAATCGATTTATCGATCGTTTCAAACTGTCGTTGAATGAGAAAAATACACATATTGCGATGGCAAGGAATTACGAAAAAGGAAAAAATGTTTGCCTGCATTGCTTCGGCATCGTTTGCGTCCCGTTCCGCTTCTCTCCCACGCCGCAAAGGTCCCCCTGATCCTTAATTCGAACTTGAAACGAATGACCTTCGGTATCCACGAGCGACGAACCGATCTTTCGTACTCCCGATCGTGTTTTTGGCACAGCACTTTTCCGTCACCGTATTAGCACAACTTTAATGTACCAAACAGTTTCGAGAGCCACCGCGTCGGGACGTATCTGCACGTTCTGAGGCGTCTCTTGAACTGAATTTCTGACTGAGGCCCTTACTCTTTATGCCCATCTGGCTCCAGCAGGTGCTGCAGGTGGCACCACCTTCCGACCATACATTAGCCTCTCTTTTCTGTGCCGGTCCCTTTCATACAATACGAACCCGGGACCCACTTGCCGCGAATTTACATTCATCAAAAAATTCTAAAGGACTTTTACAAACGGTATTCTATCAAGGGAGTGAAAGGTTAGAATAATGATTAAGCTATTATCGACTTTAATAATAAATTTATTTACGGATCACGTGTAACAAGATTACGTATAATTTGTTAAAAATTTCGTTTCTGCTTCGCTCGATTTCACGAGAATTAAAAATGCTGGAGTTCCTCCTCGTACAATGAATCTAAAATTGATTTCAACATGATTTTACGAAATTTGATTATCATAATGTTTAGACAGTTTTCTGCGTTTTAGTTCTCGATCTTACCGTTCGTCCCGTAGTACTTTCTCTAAAGAATGGTTTATATTTACTTTATGGACGGAATATTTATCTTTACCCTCGAAATAAACGTTTATATTTTGGACGGTATAACGTCGCTCAGAGTCCCATTCTGGTGGCTCGTTAAAAAGCTGTTCTAATTGTTCTATTAACCTAAATAATCAAAGTTATTTAGAACGCCTTCACGCATTTTGGAATTGGGGAAAAATTAAAACGCTTATGCAATGTAAAAACGTACAATGTGTTCTCGTGAAAATTTTGTATGAAATCCGTTTGTTTCGTTTCCGGATATAAAATCATTACTGGCCAAATAAGTTTATTTTCAGCGTCCAGATGAACTCTGCTTTGTGCTATTTGCGGTATCCTAGGTTCTAAATCTTTCAAATCTGGATTTTTTCTTCCGTTGATCGATTCTAAATTAATACCCTTGCTTTTGATAATGTCTAGTAATTCTTCTTCTTCTTTATTTAGTTGCTTTTCTAATCTATCTAATTTCCTTTTATCTCTCTTTAAACGTTCCTATAAATATTACAATTACAGTTTTTGTATCCTCCAAACATCTTTCGAAGTTCTGCATAAGATATATCTTACTTTCGCAGCTACAGCCTGTGATTTTAAACCTAATATTGTTTTATCGGTTGGAGAATGAATTAAAAATTGATCGCAGAGATCAATACACTGATCATAGTCTTTAACATGAAAACAACAAGTAGCAGCTCTACTCGTAGCTTTTGAATAATTTGGTTTTAATTTTAGAGCATGCTTGGAATCGTTTAAACTCGATCTGTAATTTACGTGGAGGTATTGTAAATATCTGGCACAGTTACAATGAATAACATAACGTACAGTTCAATGTATATACCGATAATTTTCCAACATGAAATGAGCAGCGGCTCTATTGTTATAGAGCTGAGCCAATAATTCTGTTTCTTTACATTTGGTCCTTATACCTTCCGTGTAACTTAAAATAGCCAACCTATATTTCTTATACTTATAATTAAAGTTTCCATCCTCTTTATAATTATTTGCTAATTCTACAAAGGAGATGGAAATCAATCGTTGCTACACCAATAAAAATTAGTAGTACTATCGAAGCAAAAATATTAACAAACTAATTCAAACCCTCGGGCGTGTTCTCATCCTCCCCATATTTAAGTTGTTGCAATCCTTCCATCAAAGGAGAAAGTTCTTCCCCTGGTTCTGGTACTTTTTTCATGAAGAAAGGATGCTTTTCCATTTCTTCTTGCCACCGATCCTCTGGCCATCCTTCCGTATAGCTTTTTTTCTCTAAATTACTTATATATTCATCCAACTCTGCATCTAATTTCGAAGCAAGTACTAAACGTTCCTCGTCGCTCCAAGTTTTATGTTTTTTCTCACTCGCCTCTTCCATAGCCAAAAGATTTTACAAATTGATTTACGAATTCTGCATAACCTCCAAAGTACATAACCTCAAAAACTTGATGCGTTGCAGCATGTGTTATTCTAACCTCTTTTACCGACCGGGTACATTCGCTGTTCCATTCTAAAGGTGGCACCATTTGTATAATCACAAGAAGTTCAAAAATGTTATCGCGTTTTTTAAATACATTGTTGATAATTTTTTATGTTACAACTGTCCTTCGATATCAGTATTACAAAATCTTTGATAAAAAAATAATAACAGAAGCATTACATCGATTACACGGTATAAAGAGTTCATGACACATTTATAAAAAAAATTACGAAAATACATAAAATATTATCTAAAAGTTAATATAAACGCGAAAGGCAGTTGCTAATTACTCGGATGCAAAGACTGAAAACATTTTGAAGGTTCATTAATCAGAAAAAGAAAATAATTTTAATATATTTTTTAAAGCAGTCGTTAATATTTTGTAAAAATTTAATTACGTTTGAGAAACCATTATTAAATAATGGGGCATTATTGTACTACTCGTTAGTGAGAATACGACTCTTAGTTACGAATTGATTCACACTAGGAGAGAAAATTGGGAAACGGGAGTATGGGTAATCCTACAATAAAATCCGTATTGAAAGTTAGGGATGAGAAAAGCCAGAGGAGGATACGTCGATCGGGTAGGGGTGGCTAAGGTTCGGACGTTTACGCAAACATTCGGGTTTTGGCCCCTTTGTGCGTCGGGTAGGCAAGATGGCGCTCGGTGAAAGCTGGTCCACGATTGGTCGATGAGACCGCACCGCGAATCTCCCGAGAGCAGTCGCTTCCACGGCCTCGTAGCGGGCGAGTTGCTGGTCCCTTTGGAAAAAAGCAAAACACGCTCTCTCGTCGCGGCGACGAGTGTAATGGCCACCGTGGGCCTAGGATAACGGTGGAGGCGGTTCGGGTTCTTTGATCGGAACGCTGGCAAATCACGGGACGACTTATTCGCCAGTTACGATCAGTGAAATTTGATTTAAGCGTGTCGAACTGCCGCTCTTGTCGTTCAGAATCGTGGGCTTCTATCACCACGGTGAGGAAGAGTGCGTGTACATCAACCAGTGTGCATCAGTGTACTTAAATGTGTGCCAGCCATTGTCGAGCGTGCATCGTAGTGTGCCGGTCAGCGAATCGTTGAATACACTGGATATATCGGTTGTTCGTTTCACCTCTTGGATTCTACCCTCCTGATAAACGAACGTGGCCATCGGTGAGTACAGGCACGGTTAAACGAGACCCCGTATCGCGCACGGTGTCGATGATCGTACATCGAACAGTGGCTTAACGTTAGTCGGTGCGTGTGTGTACATTCTAGTCATTCTCTCCCTTAAAGCAAACGATCGTCTGTCGATGCTTTCATCTATGACTAGACGCACCCTCGACGTTCTCTTCTTATTTTTTTTTCTTGTACAAAAACAATCGTCGCGTTGTCATCGGTCGCCGGCGCGCGGTTTCTTTTACAAAAATTCCAACGGTTCAACGACGGTGGGATCGTGTCAGTCGTACACGATCTTTCGCACATGTATCACCGTCCTTTCCCATGGGGGAAAAGTCCATTTATTGTTATATGCAGGTAGTAATGAGAGTATGCGCGTTGCGAAGCACGATCAATTTCGGAAGATCTACCACCACGCTGCAAAAGATGTCGCGCCACCCTTTCCGTGCTAGTTTATTGTTGCTAAATGTTCACGGGTGCCCAAGGACCTTCACCTCTTTTTTTTTTTTTTTTTCTTTTCTAACGTGTCGACCGCCGGTTGATTTCAAGCGTCACGCCACGTAAGCGAGCAAATGATAAATTACAATTTCCATGGAAACCGAAGCGCGTTCGTCGAATACCTCCTCATCTCGTTACAGGAATATGCTAATTTCGCTATTACCTTCGATTCTTCGTAACGCACGACAAGCCTTCGAAATGCTTGTCAGCTTACGGGGCGTTGAAACGAATCGTCGCGTTTCCGTCTACGGTTCTCGGTAAGCAGCATCACCCCAGTCTTTCGCGATTACCCGCGGATGGGCGTATTCTTTCCGAACAAGTGTACTCGACGGAATCCCATTTACCCGAAAATAAATGCTCGTTCGCGTGAACGACCTCTTTAACCCGCGTTTAATAGCGCCGTTAAGATATCTCGAAAATAATATATCGCGAGCCGGTAACAGGTGCCTCTCATCGACATTTCCCGACCTTTTTTTCGCAAAGACAAACACGTGTTACGTCGTTTAACCGGAAATCCCGTCAAGTGTCGCTCATTTACCAGCGCGACAATGTTCTTGTACCAACGCGAAATGTTTGTTGGTAAAACGTTTCGCTGAAGCGCGGAATAACGGGAAAATCATTGCGCTCGCCGCGATCTGATTCCGTGTGGATATTTTGCCGTAATGTGCAACACTCGTAACGGGCCGAAAGTAGAGCGTTTGCACGTGTCGCTGACAAGACACGTAACCGTCAGTCATAGTCAAAACATATCTACAAACCATATTCTAGGAAACGTTTACTTAGCCTACTTACAGAATAAGGATTTTTACTCATAATGTTAATGACAATTATTAAGATCAGTGTAAAGCGCTGATAACACCCTATAAAAATAATAATTTCTTTCCTGACCAAGACGAACTTTTAACGTAAGTATAATACCCTTGATACGATTATGCACTTTAGTGATTCTAGATAATAATGGTTATTCTTCAAATTGAAAGTAACTTTCTACATAAAGTTTGTATTTCATTGTATAATGTCTTGTGTACGAAACTTTCATGATTTTGAGTATTAGTTCTATAATTATAGGTGTAACTATACTAATACCAACTTTTACATTATACATCGTGCAAAGATTTTATCCCGTTTTGCGATGAACGTTAATAAATTCTTATCGCGTTCGCTGTTTAATCGAATTTTGCGGTGGAAGTTACTCGCTCACGAATAAGATTAACATTTTTAATCTTTTCAAATGCATTTTGCAATACAGACTGGACGAATAAAACGAGATACACGTTCACGTATCGTTTCGTATGCCACGTATTAAAAATAATGTCCTCTTTTATGAAACGCAATTGGATTAACTCCTTAATCGCCAGTTATAAGCGTGGTTTACGTGTTTCGTCGGGGAACATGTAATTTCATTAACTAATTTGCGGAGATCGTACGCTAAACGTTTTCCGCGAGACTTGAATTTTAAAAGATAGGATTAATGTAAAATTATCAACAGGGATAAATAAAATGTTAAAATTTTTTCGAATGTTAACGACGAAACGAGGCGTTCCATAATTCCGTGAATTCGGTATTTTCTTTTACTTCTGACGAGCTCTTCGGAAACCCCGGCAGTGAAAATGGATACGCAACGCAAAAGTAAATTTCGCTGTTAGGTTTCGTACTAATTAAATTAGCTCGTGTAACAATATCTAACTAAAATTTCGCTCGAATATCATAGACGTAAATTCGTTTCGTTAAAAACTAAAAAATTGGATGAATACGGCTTTATCAAATATTTCTTGACAATTCGTGTTCTTTGGTTTAATATGTTGTAATATGTTATTTTTTGCACGTGACTGGAATTCTAATTTGTATTGAATTACAAAGGTTGGTAGTCATAATTGAGATTTTAATATCGTATCTTCGTATTCTTTTTCGTTAAATTTGACCTTTATTTTCAGGAAATTGTCCACCGTCGAAATGTATTATTCTCCCACTTTGAGCGAGCCCAGGACTAAATTAAATATTAGCCAGAAGGTGGTTAATGAAAAAGACCAGCGGCCATCGATCGGTTTATACGAAAGCACTTTGTTCGGAGTGACGAAATGAGCTGCAGATGACGACGGTTCGACTGTATTTGACGATCCTCTCATAAAATTCTTCTGACGTTGATTGCATGTACTCTTGTCGGCGGGAATCGTTCGGGGTGGGCTCCGAGCTCTTTCAAAAGTTCTATCGCGTGCTTTCGGTAGCCTTTGTTAATCTGTCATGATTTATGCAGAAGCACGATTTAAGTGAAAACCCTTATCGACGCGGCTAATACGTTCAGCGATAGAGATTATTTGACCACACGGTGGGGAATCTTCCATGTTTATAAATTCTTCGCAAGCTTTGAATCAACTAGTCATTTTTAATTATCGAGGACCATCGAAAGAAATTGAATAACGATGCAATTTATAGAGGCTTTCGATTTAATGAGATATTCGAGTTACGATAAAAAAAATGTTTATTCGTAAATATGATTTAAATTCCGAGCATAAACATAAGCGTTGAAAAAAAAAAAAAAAAAAACATTAAATGCACCGGTATCGTGATGAATAGGAACTTAATTATGTTTAAAGACAGCCCTCAATTATCATTACAGATTGATTTTTTGTTGGCTGACAGGACCACTCAGCCGTCAAATAAATTAAGCAAGCGTACAAATGCTCGTTGCCGGGAAGGGAAAAAACTCGGTATCGGTCGATAAAGATATCCGTTCATTTTGCAATTTAAGCACGACTGATATTTTTTCGGTAGAATCCGGCCGTAATAAGATTCGCGATATTAAATAATTCGAAGGTAGAAGGAAAATAATTGCGATCGAGTGGGTCGAGCAGAGACCTGGCTTGCAACGATGCCGACACGAATATTAACGTTCTTTTTCTTCATCGTGGCGTATCCAACAATAACAGTAATGGATCCGGTGGCCGACCGTTCGTTATAGCGTCGTAAATGTCACGGCCGACGATAAAAATTTCTAACGAGACACACATCGTGCCTTCGCTGCTCTCTACCCATTGCTCCGAAAGGAGTCATTGGCAGCGTTTCGATCGTTCGCTTATAGGCCCCATAGTAAATAAACACTTCGCGTACGCTAAGAAAGAATAAACGTTAGAAAAAAGAAGGGGAACGGAGAGCAAAGTCGGTGCGTCAAAAGAGATTCGTTGCTTCGACACGTCTAGGTTCGGTTGGAATGGGACTCGGCGGGGCAAGGCGGTGAGCAAGCGTACCCCCTCCTCCGTTTAACTCCTTGAAA